TAGATACATTTTATTTATTGTCTGTGTTTTTACTCAGCCTTTCAGCCAAAACAAATTAGCTCCTAAAGGGGTTCACTGCAATTAGAAATCAATACAAGTTAAAATATAATAAAAATTGGGGAGGTGTCTGTTAGTGAGGTATTACTCCGTGTAGGAGGGGTTCTCCATGGTCCCCGTCTAGGTATAGTGGAAGCATTCCTCATCTCCCTCTGGCCTCAAGGATGGCAGTTGGTAGATGGGAGGGAAGGTGCTCAAAGGTGGATTCAGGCATGATGGGTTTTGCCGTTAGATCCCCCCCCCCTGCCAGTATCCGAAAATCAAAGAGCTGATTTTCACGCTGAGAATGTCATGGAGTTTTTACTGATATACATAAATCTGGCTCCCAGATCAGGCATGATTCAGCATGACATGAAAAGACTTCTGTATTCTAATAATCTCTCTCTCTCTCTCTTTTATTATCCTAGGGGCAGGATGGGACTGGGTTCTACGCAAGCTTTCTATTTGCTAGTGAACAACAAGACTTTAGCCAGCATGTCTCTGACTCTGGCTGAAATATACCAGGATTACAAAGATGAAGATGGATTTGTATACATGACTTATGCTTCCCAGGAGATGTTTGGATACCAGTTGGCCACTGACAAAGGGAAATCTAATGAATGTCTCCAAAAAACATAAGTGTCCTTTGAGAGGCAGCTGCGGCTAGGCAGCGAAGCTGTGAATCATATAAGTTACTTGAAGTGAAAAGAAGCTCTGTTTGACATGGGCTCAGCTGAAAGATTAATGGCCCAGGAGCTGGCAAGGCCCAGCTAAAGAAGCAAGTAGTGGTATAAACCATCCTAAACAAAGGACATGGGCATTTGTTTTGTATTTGAATGGATGCTTGTGTGACAAAAGAAAATAGTTGGGGTATGCTTCAGTGGGTTTTCTCTTTCTTTTAAAAATGCCCTCAAATTATCTGTTTTAAAATTATTACTAAACTGGACATTAGTGAGATGCAAATAAATTAATCTCAAGATTGTGTGGGGAAAAACCATTCAGTATGGGAACCTTCCACAAAACTGGCTTGCAGGGTACACAGAAGAGCTGATCAGAATTCAGGTTACTGTAGCACTTCCTGTTTGTAAACAGTATTTTTGAGCACAGCAAAACACAAAGGCTGTGGTTGGCTTTTAATATATTTCCACAGTCAATTGCTAATCTTCCTCTGGGACGTAGATTCCCCAAAAGTGAGTTTAGAGGTTTGCTTGCTTGCTTGTTTTTGGCTTGGCATTGCCAAGTGGTGAGTCCCGTGTACAGCTGGGTTTTACACAGGAGGCCAGTGCTGTGTCATGTGATGGGCTTCCTCAGAAGTGCTAATGCACACTGATCACTACTTTATGGTGCTTATGAAAATCAGCATGCAAGGTGGGGGTCAGGAAATCTAGGGGCACAGCTTCCTAAATAGGGGTGAGGCTGGAGTGCAAACTGAAGGTTTCTAACCTTCATGCTGAAGCAGCACTTCTTGTGGCCTTAGAAGGACTTCTGAGGGTTGCCTTTAGAGCTCTGCTGTGGGCCTCAGTGGACCCTTTAAACTTGACTCCAGTTGACCAGATTGCCATTTTAAAATGAGCCTTGCCCAAAGTATTTCCCTCGATTGTAGTTCACCTCACATAGTGCAAGGGGATTAGAAATTGCTGAACCTAATCCTTGTTGATAAAATTAAACCAGTGAGTCTGTTGCACCAACATCCAGCTTAAGATGGCTGTACTTCAGTGGTGCTTAGCTAACTTAAAGGGTCCCTTAGTTGGCAGAAATATGCAACTAAAGTTCAGGTCTCTAGAATGTCACAAACCGCATGACCTGGAGCGTGTATCACAGGCTTTGGGAACAAGTAAGCCTTTGTGGCTGGAGTTTTATTTTTAATAGGCGTTCACTGTGTGGTGAACAAATAGTACCTTGCCGTGACATGCAATTTGATTGACTAAACTGCTAGTTCTGAAAAACAGCACAAGTTAACTTGTCTGTGTAAGCCAGTGGGGTGCAGTGGTTAGAGTACCAGGCTAGGATCTGAGAGACCCAGGGACAAATCCCCACTCGGCCATGAAGTTCACTGGGTGACCTCCTGCCCATCATTCTCTCTCAGCCTAACCTATTTCACAGGGTTGTTGTGAGGATAAAATGGAGGAAGGGAGAACTGTGTTGTAAGCCTTGTAGGGTCCCCATTGGAGACAAATGCAGAGTATAAATATATAAATAAACAGATAAACTTAAGAAGTGCTGAACTAGTGAAATCTGTCTAATGCTACTGAGGAAAAATTTAGTTTATCTGAGGCTTCTTTTTCAATGTGATGGGGAGTTTGGTGTGTTGAAGAGAACTGGAGTTTTTTTTTAATCTATAAGTTACGTCTCTTAAAGCAGGGTTCCTTCAGGATCTTTTTATGTGTGATCTATCATCTTTGCATGTTATGAAACTGCTGTGCTAACCTATAAACTGACAGACATTCCTGCCCAAAAAAGAGAACTTTGGCAAATGTGATGAGTAAATGCTGTCTCGTCTACATGACGGTTTTGCCTGCAGCTGGTGTTGTGCTTGTATCATAGGTATTTGTTGACTGAACATTTGTTGGCTTAGAAAAATTGCTTTTGAATCAACCAAATACGTTTTAACTTTCAAAGGGTTAAGTCAACACCTGTTTGGCTAGAATAAGAGGCAAGGAGATGGGAACAGCCACAAGAATGTGTGTAAAAGATGAAGGTGCAAGTAAGCTGTAATGGGGGATATTTTAGAGCAGTCTGCCCCCAGAGGATTTGTCTCCCTTTTAAGCAGCTGGGTTCCCCCACCCTACATTTTCTACAAGTGACTCAAAACTGCTTTTTATGAGTTTGAACTCTGGACTTAGAGAATTCAGACCAAAAAAATTGAATATTGGTGTTACTATGACAAAAATTAACTGAACAATTAAAAGAATGATATGGTTAAACACGTCTGGTCTGTTCAATCTACTAAAATCATCTTTGGCCCCGGTCACACGGAGCATTAGCCACGCTAGAGAGACGGAAGATAGGCGGATTTTCCGGGCGCGATCACAGCGCCACATCTGGGAAGCGTAGAGCTCCTGTGGCTCACCCGAGGCTTCCCGCCGAAGATGCGGGGTAAAAAACTAGTACCTCCGAGGTACTAGTTTCCGGAAACCACGGGGCAAGGGCGGGCGTCTGATCGCGTTTCCGGTGGCATCCAGCGCCCGCCCATGTCCCCTCGCAAAAAGGGTTTTTTCCCCCAAGTCTCCATGGGATGCACACAAGCACCCAACGGAGCATGCACACATTTCAGTTTAAAAAAACCCCCACAACCCCGTTTGCCACGCCGCTCCGCTTCTTTGCCGCGTCGTGTGATCCGCACCTCCCCCCTAACCACGGGAGCTCGACAGGACCTCAACCCAACGCCTGATTGCGCAGTCGCGCGTTATTTTGCTCCGGGGCAAACAGCCACGCCTCCCCCCCGTATTTTCCTGCCCGTGTGGTCGAGGCCACAGATTCCCTTTGAATGAAACATTTAGTGTTGGTGAAAGGTGATAGTGCCTTGCAGAAAAGATTAATCAAGGGTAGGAAACTCAAAGGCACTACGTTAGAAGACTGAAGTGCTGCTTGTGCTGCGTAACTGATGTTGGGAAATGTCAGGGGTTGCCTTCTACTTGACAATTGCTGTTGCATGAGGTCTTTTAAAATTACATTTCAGCAAAGAATAAAGAAGTGTTGCATTAAAGAAATTACATGATACAGCTTCACTGTTTTGAAGCACCCATCTCTGAATAACAGCAAGTCCGCTTTTGTGTGAGGAGTTGCATGCAAAAGCAACAGATGTCTCCTAACAGTCAAGATTGTAAAACTCTTTAAATGCACTTAAATGAAATCTGTGGTATTATCCAAGCAAACTGTAGCTACTGCCAAGGTGTGCATTACTGAGAAATGTGTAATCCAGCTCTGAGACATCAGCTTTGGTTTTGTTTTAGCCATTATGCATTCCTTAGACCATGTTCTTCTTCTGAGTGACTCTGATTCCTGCCCTAAGCATGTTTAGTGGTGGGGGAGACATTTTAAAGTTAAGATTATTTCTCTTAGGAGCTTTTACTTGGGATGCATAAACATAGAGGCTTTTGATAGTGCTAATCACAGATTGTTCCAGTAAGGCAGCAGCGTTTCTGTGTTTCATGGAAAAAAATTTCCTGTGACTATGATCACAGACTTGCCACCATGATGTAAACTGAGCTTTGTCCACACATTTGTGTATTATACAAAAATTGCATGGAAGCACTGTTATCCAAACAGATCTACACATCTCAGGGCCATAATATGCAAAGTCATCCCCTTGCTAACACAGAACTGAGCCAGCTGTACTGAAAGAACCTTGGAAAGAGCTGCTGGGAAGGTGTGTGGGGTTGGGTTTTTTTGTTTTTGTTTTGCCTTTCCTAAACTGCTAAACTACTGGGGAGTGTTAACTGAGGTTGCTTTGTGAGAGGATAGAATTTGAGGGTGAGTGGGTGCTTGTAGCCTGCTGGAGAGTGGTGTTTTTGTCTGGGTCTCTTTGGGTCTTTGTCTGGTCTATTACTTATTGAGCAAGGTCTGTTTGCCTGGGGCTAACTGCAGGCCCCACCATCTGCTGTTGCTGCTGGGAGGCAGAGGCTGTGGGCATCCGAACTGTAAGGCTTCTCTTAGGCAGAAACTTAGCCTGGGGATCAGGCCTGAGGACCCTGCATCACTCTAGTACCTTAAAGCTAATAACCAGTTAGAAGCCAGCAGGGCTATCCAGTTTTTTGCAAAGAGTGCCCCATGTACAATTATCTACCCACTGGGTAGAAATTGTGAGTGTGCGCTCGCATGGATCTGGTAGGACCTGGAGAGCTTCTGGAATTACTGATTTCCAGAGTTCCCCTGGATAAAATGGCTGCTTTGGAGGGTTTCACTTAATATATTTTTCTCTTCTCAAACCACACCCTCCCCAGGCTCCACCCCAAAATCTCCAAGAATTTTCCAACCTGGAGCTGGCAGTCTTAGGAGTAGCAGATACTTTTTGCTGAGCAAAAAGTCCTGAGAAAGGTGGGGTGAGTGTAGGCCTTTTTCAATATGGATGCCCTGATGCTTGCACCATTGGGTGTTATAGCACAAAAAAGAAGGTTGCATTTACCTGTAACTGTTGTTCATCGAGTGGTCTTCTGTGCAGGCACACATCCCTCCCTCCTGCCCCGCTGTGAACTCTCTGGAACTTTAGTTTTCTAGGGGTCTCCGGTGGCGGCATGGAGAGAACTGAGGGAGTAGCACCCCTCCTCCTGGTCATGTGAGCGTTTTGGCGGGAAAGTGCCAGAGGGAGGATGGGTGCTCCTAGTCTATTAGAAAGCTTGGAAATCTTTTCCGTGGCTGGCCTGTGACTACGCAGTCCCATGTGGGACTGCACAGAAGCCATGACGATTAACACTAAATTTTGTAGAATGACTACAGATATTTTGTCCAGTTGGGGGTTTGTTCTTTCATACTTTGTGTCTGAGATACCTTGAAATGCGTGTTCAGTGCTCCTATGAACAGAGTCAGCAGTTTACGCTCGGTTTGGCACAGCTGTTAATGTTCTTTCAAGACAGCAAAGTCACCAGCTTGTACGGTAAAACATTCCCGAGGGGCAGCCATGTTAGTCTGCTTCAGCAAAACAGAAAGGAGTCTTGCGGCTCCTTAAAGATGTAGCAAACAGATTTATTCTGCCATAAGTGTTCATGGACTAGATGAAGTGGACTCTTTGCCAAAGTGGGTGATAAACACTGCAATGAGAGAGCAGTCCTCACTGACATGAGCCAATCCTGTCAACAAGCAAGGAATCAAAGAGGCTCACAGGACCTCTTAGCAATCTAATTGGGCTAATTATTTTATTAATTAATGAGATGAGTACAAAAGCCAATAGCTCAGGATGCCTGCCCTGAACCATTCTCTCGCAGCATCACACTTTGGGCTCATATTCTCTCATGCAAACATTTTTCCTCTGTTGAATACAGTAAAATCTGATGGGCCCAGCTGAGGCTGAATAATAAGAACATAAGAACATAAGAGATGCCAATGTTGGATCAGGCCAAAGGCCCATCCAGTCCAACACTCTGTATCACACAGTGGCCAGAAATACCAGTGCCATCAGGAGGTCCACCAGTGGGGCCAGGACATTAGAAGCCATCCCACTGTTGACCCCCCCAAGCACCAAGATGACAGAGCATCACTTGCCCCAGAGTCCCTATCTATACCTTGTGGCTAATAGCCACTGATGGACCTCTGCTCCATATGCTTATCTAATTCCCTTTTGAAGCCGCCCATGCTTGTAGCCGCCACCACTTCCTGTGGCAGTGAATTCCAAGTGTGAATCACTCTTTGGGTGAAGAAGTTCTTCCTTTTATCCGTTCTAACCCGACCGCTCAGCAATTTCATGGAGTGCCCACGAATTCTTGTATTGTGAGAAAGGGAGAAAAGTACCTCTTTCTCTACCTGCTCTTTCCCATGCATAATCTTATAAACCTCAATCATGTCACCCCTCAGTCGTCGTTTCTCCAAGCTAAAGAGCCCTAAGCGCCTTAACCGTTCCTCATAGGGAAAGTGTTCCAACCCTTTTATCATTCGAGTTGCTCTTTTCTGCACTTTTTCCAAAGCTATAATATCCTTTTTAAGGTGTGGTGACCAGAATTGCACACAGTATTCCAGATGAGGTCGCACCATTGATTTATATAGCGGCATTATGATATTGGCTGATCTGTTTACAATACCCTTCCTAATAATCCCCAGCATAGCATTGGCCTTCTTTATTGCAGTCACACACTGTCTCGACATTTTCAGTGAGTTATCTACTACAACTCCAAGATCTCTCTCTTGATCAGTCTCTGCCAGTTCAGACCCCATCAACGTGTATTTATATTTAGGATTTTTGGCTCCAATGTGCATCACCTTGCACTTGGCCACATTGAACCCCATTTGCCATGTTGACGCCCACTCGCCCAACTTTGACAGATCCCTTTGGAGTGCCTCACAATCCTCACTGGTTTTCACCACCCTGAACAACTTCGTATCATCCG